CGCACATAGTGCACATGAAATAAAAACCAATCAGCAAATTTCTCTCAAAGGCACATACGACCCTCACTCCGCAGCGACCAAATACGACCCCCTTCCCCAGAGAAAAAGTGCGGCCCCTATGTGTTTCAACGATGCTTTACCCTGTCGCCAATGGTCCCCTGCCCCGAATACGCAGCAGTTCATGCCCCTACGTACTGGAATAGCGTCTCAATAATTTTTCTCACTCACTACATTCAATGTAACGCATTTCATTTCAGATTCACCATCAACCTCCACAGCAAATCGGCTGATTTCTCCGGAAACGATGTTCCACTTCACATTTCCGTCCGTTTTGATGAAGGAAAGGTGAGTGAGGGTGCTCTTGGAAAACCAGTCTTTTCCTATTTTCAAGAAAAATCTAGTAGCGAAACAGTTTCGGCTGGCAAGGTGTATGATAAATGTTCTTACTGTTACCCAGTCACGGTGTTCTAGAGTTGCTATTACGTTTCAGAGAACAAAGGTGGCTAGTAGACGTAGCAGATTTCGGGGGATGAGATTATCGCCCAGTCACCATATGTTTCCCATATGAGCTTCATACTCTAATAAAAGAGGAGTCGCGAGCCGCCCATAGATTTCCTGCTCCCCCAAAACCCTCCTTTTCACATCCTGCCTACACATGGGTTTTCAAGACTCTTTGAGCGAGGGGAAGAGACAGAGATCAAACTATCAAAAGTAGTAGCTTTTTCGCGGCGTTTATTAGTGAAGGTATGAAGCGCAATGAAACGGGAGAACCGCACTGGAAAAGGTTCCTTCCCAAGCCAAATACAACCACCAGTGATCGAATAAGTCCCTCCCCCCCCCCCGCTTACGCCGTTAAATCCAGCTGGCGTAGTGCCAAAGTGCTTTTAGTGAAATTTCAGGAACTTCAGTAAGAATCAGTTTTGGTCACCCAAGTCTGGCTTACACATCCGAGTGAAAACGAATTCAAGCCATGATTAAGGAATATTTGAGACTCATCCAGTGTGCCTGGTGCCAACCGCTTTGGTTACGGATAAAAGCTTCAAATACATGGCGGCAGCCAGATATAGCCAGAGGGGGCAAGTGCTGTGTTAGAATGCCAATAACAATGCACATTGCCGCTAACCCGCAAGGCGCTCGTCCACTATTCCCACTCAAGAAATGCCCATGCACGCTTTACACATCCAATTGAATCGTTACGCGAATCTTTTTGTTTTGTAGTGGTGCAGATGCTCTTGGGAAGCACCGGATGTAACGCTGCACTCGCCATGCCATCAACAAAAATTGGCTATACAGGCCATCTAACTCCATCTCGATTTTCAGCCAACAGCACGATACAGCATCATAATTCCCCCACCTAAAAGAGGGTCTCGGTACGACTCCCTCCCTTTCCCAACACCTACCTACCACTTTCCTACAAGTTCCCAGCTTCCTACCAGTTTTTCCGAAATTTCACATTTTCCGGTTTTCACTCAAAAGGTTTCCGTCGAAGGAAAAAAAGGGGAAACGGACGGAAAGG